CATTTTTTTTTTTTTAAATGACTGACCAAACTGGCTGCAGAGGCAGAGAGAGTGGGAAGGGGAACGGTGAAATTGGGTGACTTATGTGAGAACACCAGCAAAGATGAAGAGCAGATCTGTCATAGTCAGGAAAAAGCTCAAGGGATAGTTAATTCCACTCCAGAAAGGAAAATATGTTTTAGATTTTAGAGGGACGATAGTTTAAGAGTTGAGAGGAGCCTCAATGTGGCCTTGCTTGTGGGTAGTTTTGTAAAGAATTAAGATGGAGATCATTGGACTAGGAGAACATTTGAGCTTAAAAAGGTGTTATTGTTGATGAATCACGCCCTGTGATTATGAGTTCTGAAGGATGATGGTAGAATAGGGAAGAAGAGAAGAAAGCGAATAACCCAGGTGCTGAAGTCATTGAGGAGATTATAAATACTTTGGGATGGTAGGAGAGGGTGCCAGCAAGTTCCCCGGTGAGAGTCAGTGTGTGCTGATAAGGCTTGTACAGCAAAGACTCTGGTGCCAAGCTGCTTGGCATCACAATATGGGGTCTCCCACTGCTGTGTCATCCTGGAGAAATTAACTGTTCTGGGCTTCATTTTCTTATTCTTAAATGAGAATGGAAATAGTATCTGCTTCATTGTGTCATTTATAGGATTAAATGAATTAGTAGGTAAAATGCTCTGAATAATACCTAGCACAAAACATGGAAGTCAGCTCTAACTTTTACTTATGTAGTGTATTTGTTAACTAGTATTATTAGTAGCATAAAGTACACTTGAAAGGAGAAGAGACGGTTGAGAAATATGATAAAACATGAAACTTCTTTATCCTATGGGTTTCAGAAATGAACTAAGGATAGTAAGGGAATTATCAGCAGGCGAAAGGCAGGTTTCATGAAGAGAACAGGTAGAAGGATTGCTTTTAGAAAAACTAGCAGTTATTGGATAACATTATGTCAGAACAGTGACTTGATAGTGCAAAAGTGGCAAGTATGAAGAGATGGAATGAATTTCTTGGCATTACATGAGTGCGGAATTTACAGGGATGGGACATGAGGAATAGAGTGGTAAGGTGCCTCCATTCTAGAATTATAATCATGGAAAATCGAGATGGAGGAAGCTAGAGGCTGGGAGGTAGCTAAGGGGGTATACTAGCTAGACTTCAAGGGAGGAGTGCCAAATAAGTTGTTTGTATTATTAGGGGAGTTGTAAAACTAGCTGCTTTATCTTTATACTTACATATGACTTAAACCATTTATAAAATTTATTGTAAGATACAACATTATAGGAACTTTGGGAAGTAGAATTCACTGTTTTATTCATTTGCTCAACAGTGTTATGCTGACTATATGACAGCCCCTGTTCAGGTGCTAGGGATATTGTAGAGAACAAAACAAAAATCTTCCTCCTTCTGGATTTTATATTTTGTATATTTACTTTCCTAAGTTTGACGCACTATTGTGATTTGAAAGTTGTGCTGTTATGGATGTCTCTGGGGAAATTTCCTTTCTTCCCTGCTGTTCCAGACATTAGAGAAACACAGATCAAGTTAGACTTGGTTCCTGTCCTAATAAGTGAGTGGAGAAAACAGAAAATGAAACAACAATTAAAAGTAGTCTGATAAAGGTACCGTAATCTAGAAGCATATAGACTTTTGAGGGTCATGGAACATTTTTTCTGCCTACGGGAAAGATGAGAAGATTAGGAGTTAGTCAGATGTACCAGTGGGAGGGGGAAAGAAAGCGTTTCTGGCAACGAGAATAGCATATTTAAGAAAAGTGATTCAATATAGCTGGGACTTAAGATATGTGAGGGCTTTGGTGTAAGGAGAGGTAAGCAGGACCTGCTTTTTGGAGGGCTTTATGAACCATGTTAGGATAGAGTTCAAAACTCTAAATGCAATAGGAAGCTATTCTAAGATTTTTAAAGGAAGTGTTATAGTATCAGACTTATGTATTAGAAAGAATTTATTGTCACATGGAGAGTGAATTGAAGGGTTGAGGAGTTGAGGTTATAGAAGCAATGCAGTGATAGATGTGACACTTGAGACTAGGGTCCTCATAAGAAACTTCTCAGTGGGCTTGAAGACAGGAGGACACATTTAAGAGAATTTTAGGAAGGGTTTAAGTCTAAGGATAGAATTCATGTTTCTAGCTTGTGCAGTTGGGTGCGTGGTGGTATTTATTAAGAGGACATGGGCGAGGGAGCTCACGCCTGAAATCCTAGCACTCTGGAAGGCTGCGTTGAGAGCAACCTGAGGAAGAGTGAGACCTCATCTCTACTCCAAATAGAAAACTTAGCCCAGTGTGATGATGCACTCTTGTAGTCCCAGTTACTTGGGAGACTGAGGCAGGAGGATTGCTTGAGTGCAGGAGTTTGAGGGTCTAGCAAGCTATGATGATATGATGATCCCCCCCCCCGCCCCGTACTCTATTCAGGGAGACAGAGCGAAACTCCTGTCTTATATATGTAATATACACACGTATATATAAACATTTATATTTATGTGTGTATATATAGGAAGAACAGTTTTGATAGGGTGAAGTATTCATTTTTAGATTTGTTGAGTTTGAATTGTCTTTGAAATGTCCAAACAAAATGGAATAGAAGTAAGGAGATATACTGTGTACATAACAATGGAGAGATTTGAGCTGGGAATAAAGATTGAGGAGAAATCAATATGTAAATAGAAATTGAAAGAATGGCTGATCACTTGGGGAAATTGGAGGCTGAGAGGGGGGCCTAGTGCAGAATCTGAGAAGATGAATTTACAAAGTAAGCTAAAAAGGGTTTTAGAGGTGGAATAAGAATCAGGAGTGTGCCGAGGTAAAACAGTGTTTTAAGAAGAAAAAGAAGTGATGAACAGTATGTTTTTTCAGAGTGAAATTGTAATAGTTAAGTCCTAAGTAATAGCCATTGGATTTAGTATTAAGGAAGTTGTTAATGACCTTGTTCAGAGCTAATATGTGAGAGTGGGGTGAGGAATTAGTCACAGCTGATGAATGAGGACATCTCTTATTTTTTGGTTGTAGGTGTGCTACCAGAGATCTATAGTTGGAGTTAGACTTGAGTTTAAAGAAGAGTCTTATTTTATTTTAAAGATAAGAGTCATGAATGTATTTAATATTTAACTTTAATCTGAAAGAATGAGTAGAAATTGGATTGGTCCAGCTACCACTAAAAAGTATAGAAAATAAATTTGATTACTTTGTTAGAGCTGAATAAACTTAGGGGACATGTTAGAGCTGAATAAACTTAGGGGACTTAGGGTTATGCCTAACAAATACTCAGAAGCTTAATTTACAGAACACTAGTTTTATACTGACACACGGATCAGTTTTGTCTACCTCATCTATTTGTTTTGGAAAACCATGTACATGAGAAGTGAAATCGTGATTTGAAGTCCCTTTTATGAGCAAGGAATCAGCAAGAGTAGTTAGTTGGGTTTTTAATGACAAATGGAATCTGTGTTAATGCTTTCAACTTCCCTTTGGGCAGGAGCTCCCTTCTGGAGAGTAGAGTTAGTGGCCCTGGCCGGGCCTCTTAGGACAAATTGATTGTAACAGCTACAGTTTGCTTTTCTGTACTCCTTTTTCTCCATTAACATCCTTCGTGTGGCCTTTTCTTTCTCCATTAATCCTACTCTTTATATTTTAGAACTAGAATCTCCTACTTTCTTCCCAAGACGTTTTTCTTCTTAAGGTGACTTCTATGACCATCTGATTTATTCTGCTATTGTCAGTAGATATTATTAATACAACTTTGATTTCTGGGAATTCTTGATAGTATCACCCGTATTTATAACTCACTCAAAACAATTATATAAAATCTGAGAATTTAGTTATTTGTGTGACTTCATAACATTTTGGATGTATTTGGCATACTGATCAAATACCAAGGAACTTTCTCTTTTTGACACAGGTTCTCTGTACCAGGCTGAAGTGCAGTGATGTGGTCATTGCACACTGTGAGCTCAAACTCCTAAGCTCAAGTGATCTTCTTGCCTCAGCCAGAAAAGCTGGGGCTATAGGCATGAGCCACCACCCCCAACTAACTTTTTTTTTTTTTTAATTTTTAGAAAATCTCTTGCTTTTTTTGCCCAGGCTGGTCTTAAACTCTTGGCCTCAGGCGATCCTCTCTCTCCACCTCCCAAAGGGGATTATCGGCTTGAGCCACTGGCCTAAATTTAAAAAAAAAAAAATTAAAATTATAAAAATAGATAATTTAGAAAGTATGAAATTATGGGACGAAGGCAATTCTCCCATTTGCTTTTAGTATTTTTGAGTGTAGACTGTTTCTAGTCTATCTTTTTCTTTCTCCCATAAAATTAGGACCCATCTGGCCTTTTTGTCCTTGTCTTACTGTATCTTAAGTATTTCCTTATGTCATTAAATATTTTCTTTAAGAAGATTTTCAGTGGTTGCACAGATTAAAACCTGTCTGTTCACCATAATTTGTACATTAGATGAGTTCATTGTTGTCCTCAGTATTTAAAAATAACACTATAAGAAATACCCTCATGATCAAATTTTTGTCCGTAAACCAGATTAATGCCTTAGTATACATTCTTAAAGAGATTTTTAGTTCGTCGCAAGGGGATTGGTGAGTGTTTATATTCTCGGTGGTAATGTATGAGTACATTGTTTTACTTCATTTCCATCCATTTCTGGGCATATATTATTTTTATAATAGATATTTTTCAGTTTAATAGGAGAAAATTACTTAATTTGTCCATGTGAATATTATGAAGGTGATTTCCTTTTCACTTTTTTGTGCTGTTTGACATGTTTGTGTGTAAATTGCCTTCCATTAATAGTTTTTTCCGGAGTGTGGGGTGTGTCTAACTAGGGAAAGGAGGGCTGTGAAGAAGTACTCTTTGTTTTCTCAGAGGAGGAACAAGAATGCTAAGTTCTAGGGACATTGACATTGTCATTTATCCTAAAATAGACTTTTATCTCTTTAGATCTCTTTTATCTCTTTCATTTATTCCTTAATTTATTTAATCCTTAGCATGACTATATGAAGGAAGAGGAAGGTTTACCTGAAGATGAGGCGACTGAATCGGAAAAAAACCTTAAGTTTGGTGAAAGAGTTGGATGCCTTTCCCAAGGTTCCCGACAGCTATGTAGAGACTTCAGCCAGCGGGGGTACAGGTAAACATGAGTCCCATTAGGGGTTCTTAGTAAGTACAACTTCTGAGTGATGTAGTCCATAAGGTAAATACACGTAGCCCTGAAGAAGAACTCATGGATGAATGGTGCAAAAACTTTGTAACTAGTCTGTCCTCATGTCACAGCGTTTGCCCTAGTTTTATTCTTGGTTAATATTCTCTGTAGTTTCTAACCCAGTGCCGACTGCATTTAGCAGTGTTTATTAAAGCATTAATGAACTAATTAATCCAATTTTACTGTTTGGTTGCCCTTCACTTGTGTATAATTACATTAACAAGATTTTTATATGTAGATGGAATTGAAGTTGGAAGAAGTTATTTAACAACATTGAAACTGTCTCAGTTACTATTGTGGTTAAGAGTAAATCAGTATGAACATTATAAAAATTTTAAAAAATTATTTGAGAGGCAACATGGGTAATGGTTAGTTAAGAGGTTAGACTTTGAAACCAGACTCTGACTTCAAATCCTACCTCTGCCCCTATATGACCTAGAGGAAGTTTTCATGTCTGGGGCTTGTTTCTTTCTTTC